GGGGGCAGGAAAGGGAGGGCCGGTGAGGCGGGAGGAGAGCACGACAAGAAGCTTTCCAGGTCTTTCCAGAGCGTATTCACAGTCTTACACATGCATCTGTCTTTTTAGAATTTGAGGATTAGAGGCTGGGGATTTAGTTCAGCGGCACAGCGCCTGCCTTGCAAGCGCAAGGTCGTGAGTTCGATTCCTGGTACCGGAAGCCACACACACACACACCCCCAAAAAAAGAATTTGAGGATTGTATGGGAACTGTCACAGTCCCTATCAACATCTCATTCCCGTAAATTTTATTATTAGTTTATTGCTTTTCCCAACTGTTAACGTGCTTCCTGAGGTACCTATACAGTTAAGACACCACTTGTTGTTTTTGATAAATCCTTTATAGGCAAGAAAGACTTTTGTACTAAGAGAGAGCTGCTGTAATGGTCAGTGTCAGTGTTTTCAGTGGAGTGTGTCAGAACAGCCGGTCAGGTCAAGTTATGGCAGATACATGGGAATGAGACTTTGGCAAAGCTCGAGCTCCATCTAACTTATTCTTGTTGCTACCAGCATGGATAGGAATGCAGGATGCAGTGTTTTAAAGTTACTATAGAGCTAGAGAGTGCAGAGTGAAATGAGGGCAAGCTACAGTACAATAACACACGTCTAAAAACTGAGATTCAGCCATTTCTTGACTGAAACATTGGATCACATTTTAGAGAGATGGAAAAGTGGATTCAGACTATTTTTGCAACTTTAAAAACTGCTTTCATGGTGGAGAAAATTTTCAGGAATTTTTATGATTTCCATTAATATCACGCTTATGTTTTATGAGCTTATAGAGTGACTTGACTTACCCTTTGTCACTGAATCCAGATATAAGATGATATACCCCCCTTCATATAGCTGTCCTCAAAATTTTAAGAGATTAGTGTTTGAGGACGTCCTTTAATGGATATTTTCACAACTTGGTGCATAGTCCTTGTTGGTTAATGAGCAATATGAGACTAGAACAAGAGTTGATGGAAACAGAATTAGTAAAAATGATAATTAGAACTCCAAGGAAGTTCTGTCGAGGAGTATTTTCGCTATGTTGTCTGAGCTGAGCCATATTTCTGTCAAGGATGAACACGTTTTTCTCATTTTTATAAACTTGATACTTTAACCTTGCCTCAGGCCGTGGACCTTGTTGTGATGATCTGTTCTTGCAGCTAGACTTTTTTGGAAGTGTTCTTGAGAACTTATATCATCTCACTATTGCAGTTCCTTCTTAGAGTTCCTTTGAACCAGCTGGTTACAATGCAACATGCAATAGGATTTATGCTTCTCCTGCTCAGATTCAACCCCATTAATCTCTCAGAATTTGGAAAATGGAGGAAATGTGAGACTGCCTGTCAATAACTGAATGAAATGAAAGTGAAAATTCTTCCTTATCCTTCTTAAGGATCAGGGTTGGTGGAATTCATTACCAAAGTCATTGGATTCAACTCACAAAACTTGATCTATGGTTTTTGTTGCTTTCATATATTTTGCATTCTCTTTATGTGTCATCCAACATGGTTTATGTTGGGATTTGACTCCAATATTTATCCACTTCTCAGCAGAAAGTATTCTCAAAGTCTCACCAGAATAAATAGCTAAGATAATCTTCACGAAATCATAATGTTTGTGCTTTTGTTTTGTCATGTTAATGATTAGTAATTTTATTTTTTATTTTAAAAAGAAAAAACAATAAAAACAATACAGAAATTCAAAAGAAAATATTAGAATATTAACAGTTGTTATATTGCATATTGTTATCTTCAAAGTAGTTGCTCAGATTATAAGATATGGACACTCAAATTTGATCAAATAATATAAGCACAAACCATTCATTTCAATGAACTAATAGGAATTAGCAGTACAATTATCTTAGCTATCTTGTGTGTATATAGATATATATATTTTTTCTTTTCTCTTCATTTTTTTCTGCTTTCCCCCCATCTCAGTTATTCTTTCCTTTCAAATAGTTTTTTTCCCTTTTAAAATATCTATTGTCAAACCTTTTGAATCTTATTCACTCTTTCAATTTCTTACACTAGGGAGATGATACAATGTTTATACATGTGAGTCTGATTTATTTCATTTGTGAGTATGGTCTGTAGTTGCATCCATTTACCTATAAAAGCCTCAAGTTTATCTTGCTTTATGGCTGAGTAATACTCCATTGTATAAAAATACCATATCTTTTTTATCCATTCCTTGGTTGATGGGCATTTAGGTTGCTCCAAAGATTTAGCTATTAAAATTGTGCTGCTATAAAAATGGGTGCAC